GGAGACAATGAGGTTTAGATGAAGTCACGAGGGGGAGTCCTTATGAGGGATCAGTGCTCCTACGGGGAAGAGGAGGAGGAAGAAACACCAGAGCTCTATCTCTCTGCCATGTGAGGACAGAGCAAGAAAGCAGCTCAAGAAGAGAGTTATCACCAGCACCCTGATCTCAAGACGCCTAGCTTCCAGAATTGATAAACTCCTGTCTAAACCAACCAGTTCCTTTTGTCATGGCAGCCTGAGCTGACTAAGAAAGAACCCAGCCAAAACGAGAAAGCTCCACTCTCAATGTAACCAAACAAACATGTAAAAGGGCACCCGGCGCAGTAGCATTGTCTATCAAGACTCTCCCAACCCACACTGTTCTACTGCTTGTCTGATGCTCTTCCCCAAACAGCCACACTTTCCTGGAGACTAAAAACTTAAGGCTATTGCTTTAAATACTCATCGCTTGCAACTACTCAAATGCTAGAAGATGACTTCAAAGCGGGCACCAAAGGGTGGTGGGTAGCACCCTCCCCCAGCCACCCACCAACCTACCCACCTCCACGCACTAAAACGGGTGGGTGACTCAGGCACACCAAACATACCAACAACTGTGTCTTGCTCAGAAACACTCACTGAGGTCCCAGTTAGGGAGTGATTTTGGCCGAGACTCATGACCACATACAGAAACACCACCTCAGGCAAACTTCCCATGGGATTTCCGCCCAACCGAGAGTCTCAGGGGTTCTTTATTAAACTACTGTCTGTCTGCTTTTTTTTTTCAAGTAGACATTTTAAAAAGCTAAGTTCCCCCGCCCCGCCTCTAAAACTAGACTCTAACTGTAGAGTAGAGCGATAAGTGATGTAGCAACTAGATTCTTTGACATATTTTGTTAGAAAACTACTTTAAACATTCAGGAACTTACATAATTTTATAAAAGGGAACAGTCTAACATTGTATTTTTAAAAATTCATCTTCTTTGTACAATCTGAATTGTCAAGTCAGTTATTTCTCTGATACTTTCTACCTTGGAAATTTTACAACAGTCTTAAAACTCAGTGGTTTTTTTAAAACACCCATGTCCATCTTATAAGGAGAGAGAAGGAAAAACAGGCAAAGTAGTAACAGATTATGAAGGTCCCAAAGTCAGGGCTCTGCTTCTACAGGCCAGAGGAACACCCAAGCCAACTTATCAAAGGCATGAAGTTTAGCTACAAAACGGAGAAAGGCGGTGTAAGTATTTTGCGACGGGAACAATCAAAGCTGCTCTGGGGCCTGGACACCAAGTACAGTGGCAATAGGATGTATAGACTGAACAGACCCTCCACATTTTAGAATCTGTGGCTCCAAATGTTAATCAACATTTCACTAAGCGCAACAGGGGACAAAGGGCTAGAAATGGAAACTATCCAAAGTACAAAAATCTGAGGGCCCTAAAACAGCACTAACCCTTAAATTTCTTTAAAGATTAACACTTGTTCCTCTTTCCAATACTTTTATTTTTTATGTATATTTTATTGATTATGCTATTACAGTTGTCCCTTTTTTTCTTCCCTTTATCTCCCATCCACCCTGCACCTCCTCTCCTTCCAGCATTCCCCCACCTTAGTTCATGCTCATGGGTCATACATGTACATTCTTTGGCTTCTCCATTTCCTATACTATTCTTAATAGGATAGTTTATTCCCCACTGTCTATTTTGTACCTACCAATTATGTTTCTTATTCCCTGTATCTTTTCCCCCATTCTCTTCCCTCCCCCTCCCCACTGATAACCCTCCACGTGATCTCCACTTCTGTGATTCTGTTCCTGTTCTAGTTGTTTGCTGAGTTTGCTTTTGTTTTTAGGTTCAGTTGTTGATCATTCTGAGTTTCTTGTCATTTTACTATTCATGGTTTTGATCATCTTCTTTTTCTTAGATAAGTCCCTTTAACATTTCACATAATAAGGGCTTGCTGATAATGAACTCCTTTAACTTTACCTTACCTGGAAAGCAACTTTTTTAATGCTTTATTTATTTATTTGAGAGAGGGGAAGGGAAGGAGAAAAAGGAGGAGAGAAGCATCAATGTGTGGTTGCCTCTTGCACACCCCATACTGGGGACCTGGCCCGTAACCATGTGCCCTGATTGGGAATTGAACCTGCAACCCTTTGGTTTGCAGTCTAGTGCTCAATCCACTGAGCCACACCAACTAGGGCTGGGAAGTATTTTATCTACCCTTTGCTGGATAGAGTAATCTTGGATGTAGGTCCTTGCTTTTTATGACTTTGAGTATGTCTTTCTGGCTGAGTCTTATGGGAATCATCTGATAGTCTTATGGGACCTCTTTGTAAGTAACTCTATCCTTTTCTCTTGATGCTTTTAAGATTCTCTCCTTATGCCCTGACTGGTGTGGCTCAGTGGACTGCATTCTGACCTGTGAACCAAAGGGTTGCTGGTTTCGATTCCAGTCAGGGCAAATGCCTGGGTTGTGTAGGGAATGCATGAGAGGCAACCACACAATGATGTTTCTCTCTGCTTCTCCTTCCCTTCCTCTCTCTCTAAAAATAAAATCTTAGAAAAAAAAAAAGAAAGAAACGTCAAAAACCACTTTAAAAAAAAGACTATATCCTTATCTTTAATCTTGGGTAATGTAATTATGATGTGTCTTGGTGTGTTCATCCTTGTGTCCAACTTCTTTGGGACTCTCTGAGCTTCCTGGACTTGCATGTCTATTTCCTGCTCCAGACTGAGGAAGTTTTCTTCCATTATTTTTTCAAGTTAAGTTTTCAATTTCTTGCCCTTCCTCTTTTCCTTTTGGCACCCCTATGAGTCAGATGTTGGAACACTTAAAGTTGTCCCAGAGGTTCCTGAGCGCCTCATTTTTTCTGAATTCTTGTTTCTTCATTCTGTTCCTGTTGAATGTTTATTTCTTCCTTCTGTTCCAAATCATTGATTAAGTCCTGGTTTCCTTCCCTTCACTGTTGGCTCCCTGTATATTTTTCTTTATTTCACTTTGTAGAACCTTCACTCTTCCTTTAGTTTGCAACAATACTCAATCATTTCTGTGAGCATCCTGATTACCCGTGTTTTGAACCCTGCATCTGATAGGTTGTCTATCTCTTCGTCACTTAGTTCTTTTTCTGGAGTTTTGATCTGTTCTTTCATTTGGGCCGTATTTCTTTGTCCCGTTGCACCTGTTACATTGTAAGTGGCTGAGCTCTAGGTATTTGCCAGGGTGGGGCAACCCATGTCACTGTGTTGTGGGGGAGGGGTCAGGGAGGGAACAATGCCACTTGCTTGGCTCTTGCTCCCTTTCAGTCACTTCTTCCCCTACCCACAAGCGAACTGCGCCCTTCTGATGCTGATTCCCATGCAGGTGGGTTTGTATCTGTTCTAGGATCCTGTGGACCCCTCCAGTGGACTCTTCTGTGAGACTGGGAGTTTTTCCTGCCCCCACAACCCCCACAGATTTTTACAGCCAGAGGTTTTGAGGTTTTACTTTCCCTGTGCTGGAACCCTGAGTTGTGTCGTCTGTCCCACTCCCCAGTTGTTTCTCCTGGTTTATCTGCATGTGTATGTGGGACCACCTGGTCCACCCTGGCTGCCCGCCTCCGTCCCTCCTATCAGTCTGCATGAATGTGTCTTCTTTAACTTCTTGGTTGTCGGACACCTATACAGTTCCATTTTCTGGCACTTCTGGTTATTTTTTTTTTATTTTAAATTGGCTGTTATCCTTCTTTTGGTTGTGTGAGAAAATGAAGCATATCTATGCCTGCATCTTGGCCAGAAGCTTCCAATACCTTTAATAAAGAGCTTCATCTGTACAAGATCGAGTCCCACCTATGCATATCCTCCACTGTCACTATGCTACTCCCTCCTCTCTTTGCCTACTGCAGGAGGAAGGAACAGAAGTTCACAGCTTTGGGGAAGCAACATGTAGCAGCTGCTCATAAAAGGGTTTTAAGCCCTTGGCCTAGACATTCATAGCAACTGTTACACAACTGAAGAGAAAGATAAACTAGCTTTCCCAATCCATTTAAAACTAGAATCATCTAGTCCTACACCGTATGTCTCTCAGAGAGATGCGGTAATTTGTTCATAGTGACATGGAGAATTGGTGATTATGCCAGCAAATAAAATTCATGTCTCCTTAGTGCAGTGCCCTTTCTAATACATCAGCTTGCCTCCCATTTGATACTCAAAGTAGTAAATCAAGACCCAAATAAGTAGGGAATCTGCATAAGGAAAACCCAAGTTGTCTTAGTCCTAGGGTGAATTCCAACCTTGGAAAGCCAAATGAATAACGTTTAGGAAAAGCCTGCCAACAAATCGGGCAGAATACTTCATACTCAGTAGACTCTATTTCTCTCACATGAGCCCCTCAAATCGTATAACTGTGTCTTTTCAAACTGCCTCACCTCATGAGTGCAAAAACTATTGTTTTTATTTTATTTTTTTACCCCAAGAAAGTTTAGGTCAAAAAAGGAGAAAATAATCTCACTTCTTTATGCCAGAATTTTGGCACAGTGGGACTGTGCAGGAATGCACCTACTGTGGAATCTTCCCACACCCCTGTGCTGTTGAGAGTAACCAGCAGAGGCATGTTCCATACACTCCCCAAATATCTCAGCTGGCAACACAAAAGATATTCAGAGATCTTAGCCCTGGGACAATAGCTTCTGTCAGTCAACTACAGTTCTCACGACTCTATGTTTCTGCTCTTACTTCAATTTCATACCAAAGAGCATATCACATCTGTATAAGTAGTTGAGAAAACCACGCAAATGAATTCACACAGTAGTTTATAGCAATTTTGTGAAGGCACAAATACTAATGATAAAGTACAGATTTTTTTAAAAATTCAAAGACGTTACACAAGCATATTACTCTCAGCACTTACACAGCATATTTGACAAAGAACCCAGGGCCCCATTAACCTGTCCTTGAGACTAACACCGAAAACGATTTTCAGCAGTTTCCATGCAAAGGTAGTTACATGTTAAGAAAGCAAAGATGAGCACTTTTATCTCTTACCTGAAGCCAAAGGTCGAATCCATTCTTTGCTATTCAGGTCAAGTCGCCAGAGGTCATTGAAAGCAGCATTGCAACTGCTTTGGGTGCAGCCTCCAAACACATACATAGACTGATTAGCATCGTAATAGCATGCACCTAGAAAGAAAACAATACATAAATAACTGATGTTTAATTCTTAAGTCCCTTTAATACCTTAACAATAGCCCATATCTTTCAAAGGTCAATTATTTCTCATATTTCACAACTCTTACCAGGCACCAATTTTCTATAACCAACCTGTTGTCTTCAGATTGGTCAGCATCACACTAACCTTTAAAATAAGGCCCAGAGAAAAGCAAAGAAAGGGTTATTTCTGAGCACGCTAAGCGAAGTGACAATGATGTCATTAAGTACGGCAGTATAGTTCCGGCTGGTGTGAGTCAGTGCATTGAGCACCGGCCTGCAAACCAAAGTGTCGCCAGTTCAATCCCCAGTCAGGGCACATGCCTGGGTTGCGGGCCAGGTCCCCAGTGGGGGGCACGCAAGAGGCACCACACATTTGATGTTTCTCTCCCTCTTTCTCTCTCCCTTCCTCTCTCTCTAAAAATAAATAAAAGATCTTAAAAAAAAATAAGACAGTATAATTCTAGCAGAGCACACACAAATTCATATTAAGGGCACTCAATGAGTGCTATTTCAGCACAGCTGCACACTCAATCTAAATCTGCATAGGGTTAGGGAAAGAGTCAGTGCTAACAGATGCACTGTCCTCCCATTTCTCTCCTCCAGTCCGCTCTCATTGGTTTTGTTTTCAAATGAAACCCGAAGCACAAACCAGTAAACAAGTCTTTATATGAAGGAGAATGAGGGAAACAATTTTAACCAATGCCACAAAATAAGCACACATGAAGACCAATGTAGTGCAGGGATCTCAGAAGTAGTGTGGTCCCAGGACAACCGAGAGAAAAAGCACAAAAGCCCCTAGGTATAACCAGAAGCCACCAAGGCAGGCTAGTAGCGCTAAACAGAAAAATAGTGCAGTAAGTAACATTTAAAAAGCAGAAAGGTCTCTGAGAAGAGCCTTTTTAATTAGCTGATTATATACACCTCACCAATGGCATCATTCTGAAGAGGCAATGACTGTGAGAGGGCTGTTCCTCTAAAACTAGAAAGATCAGAGCCAGAGTCTAGATGGGAGACTTAGAGCTAAGCTCTGCCACCTTGCTTCTCACTGAAAGCTCATTTAGTCTCTATCTTTTGGAAAAGATGACCACACTCCCCACAGTCCTGCCTTTAGCATGCTGGATCTCAGGAGAAAGGCAGAGAAAAACTTCTTCTATTCACTTCGTGTATACCAGTGGGAAAAAGACCTCTCAAAGTGCACGTGAAACTAAGTTTCAACAGTTAAGGGTCATATACAAGGAAGGGGAAAGTGAAAAGAAGGTCAGAGACTCAACCCACTAGTGCAACATTTCAGTGATTATTTAGCTTATTTGCTGATCTAGCTCGACTTGGCACATCACTGATTTTAAGATCTATTCTGAAATCTGGCACCATTTATTCAAGTTTAGAAAAAGGGAAATGCCACTGCTATATTACCCCTGTGATGTGTACTAGCTCTGGGAATAACTTTCCCTTATATTTTTTCAAACTGAGCCCACTCAATAGGCACTTTAAGGAATCTCCACACTAGGAAGGCCAGGTCAGAAAACTGCGTGAGTTAAGGACCAATAAAAGCAGTGTGTTTAGTCACTTACACCCAGTAATTTCAGTCAGTGGAAGAAGTACATCCAAATCATCAGACCTCTGACACTGTGCAACAATGGAGCTGCAGACTTCTCAAATTCACAAAGAAATTAAAGAGACTAGAGATGTGAAAAAATGAAATACCATCTAATCATCGATAAACTCACACCTGCAAAATAGTTAATATACTCCCAGAACTCAAACACACTACAATGGCATATAAAGATTTAAGTAATCTTAAACCTTCCACTGTCTTTGCCTTTGAAAATAACTTCTAAATCAGCATTTTAATCCACATCCCAACAAAAAAGTCTATTAAGAAGTAAAATCCTATGGAATTACATTGCTCATGTCTCAGTTTTGTTAAAAATTACAAATAACAAAGGATCAAATTAGATGACATTAGGTACACAACACGAATAATTAATGGTACCCTATTGTAAACTCCACCAAAGAGCTACGCTTCAGATATTTTTGGTCTTCTCATACATTTCTTTCTTTCTTTCTTTTTTTCAATCCTCACCCAAGCACATGCCCATTGATTTTAGAGAGCAGATAAGGGAGGGAGGAAGAAAGGGAGAGAAACATCAAATCTGTTGCCTCCTGCACACAGCCTAATGGAGACCGGACAAGCAACTTGGTCCTGTGCCCTGAACGGGAATCAAACCAGCGACCTTTCAGCTTTATGGGATGATGTTACAACTAATTGGGCCACACCGGCCAGGGCTCTCACACCTTTCTTGAACTAGCTATTCCAACAAATGGGAAAATTTTGAACCGAACCAACTGGTGCCAAGCATAAAGAACATTCTTTTCCTCTTGGTAATCCATACCTCCAGAACAGAAATTGGCAATGTCCTTTGGCTTCTGAAACCTTAATTTGTGTCCTTTATAACAATGTTTAGTAAGGCAAACTCATGATGTGATATCTAAAAGAGTGAGGGCTCATTTATGTCTCACCATTCCTCAAAGATCAACTCTTAGCAGCTGCTTCCTTTGTGTAGCAAAAGAGCGCAGTGCCTTTATTTATCAAAGAGGTAGCAAACATTCTTCTTCTCTATTTGGATTGAAAACTCAGCCAGCCGCTGGGCCCCATGAGGTTCTCAACCACATGTATTTTAATCCTATACTAAAATAAGGCAATTGGTATTTTCCTGCTTCTCTTTGAGCAAACAAAGGTTTCTGGAAGAGGAAGGCACAGCCCAAACTACGCAAAGATAATAGGACTAAAACGACAAGTTTCACACACTGTATTTTCAATGTCCAGCAGTCAATTATCAACAAAGCTTGGAGAGGAAGGGAGTCACTTTAGTCGGCTAAGTTTAGAACTCAGATATAATGGAATAAGAAAACTGCCATCGATAATACACTCAAATATTTTAGGCATCCTAGTGAACTTTGTTTATTGTCTATTTTTATTTTAGACACCTACGTGTTGTTCTGAGTGGGGGTGGGAGAACCAGACTAGTTCAATGGGCCTTTGAGAAAAAATTAAGAATTTACACAAATACCAGTGTTCAAGTAGTCATTTCCCTTTTACCAAAGTTCTCCACCCAAAGAGAGTTTTTTTCCTTTCAGACCATTGGAATGTGCCATACAAAAGTTACAGTTCCTAATACAGTGTGAATAACCTGCTAAGAAATAACATTAAGAATGTTTATTTGACTGCTAAATCTCTTCAACCTTCGGAAATGGGTTTGATTGCTCCATGAACAATTATTGCAAGACACATACCTCAAGTTGGTGTCTAATAATCACTATTGAAATGCAAGTCAAATATTCCCAATTATACACACAGCAAGCAAACAGTTGTTCAGCATTCCAAATACTTCCCTCCCACACTGCAATCCTCTCAAACGCAAGGTATTCCAGTTGTTTCACGTTTTCCCTGGTGCCTGGTAATCCCTCGATAAATGTCCACTCTGACTTTTTTGCACTTTCAGGTGTTAAATTCTCTTCTGTTTCCCTGCTTGTCTCCAGAGAAAGGCCCTGAGGCTCTCATCCCATGCTTCCACAGACTCTGCTGTCCTGTGTCTCACGCCTACAAGCCGGGACACATTCGCTAAGGCCTGTAATTACATAACTATGGAACAAGCACGGCTGGCCACCCAGTCTGGACCTGCTTGCTGCTGCAGGAACTCGATCAGCAATGTGTATGTGGAATGATCTGTTTGGAGTCGGAACACTAAAACCTTTCCAAAGCGTGGCGCTGGGGACTCAACAGACCGCTGCAGCAGTCTGCAAAGGGCATCATCGCACAATCCGCAAAGAGCCGCACGCACTCGCCAAAACCCAGGAGAACTGGTTTCATTTTACTGCCCCTGCCTTTTTCGTCCCAGACCTTTTTTTTAAATACTCAGGAAAGGAGCTGTACTGCTCATAGGTTTGTTACATTTAATTCCACATTATTTAATAAATTATGATCCAGGTACTGTGAAAGGTGCACAGGTGTCTCAAGACACAGCAACTATCTAGCCTCAAGTAGACAGCTATTTTGTGGAGGACCATCATCATCATCATCATCCTATCATTTTGCAGTTTTAAAACCTTTTTTTATTTTACAAATGTTTCTTCAATCCAATTTCCTAGCAACCCTGTGGCACAAGAATTTTCATTCACATTTTACACATGAAGAAACTGTGGATTAGAGGAGCCAAGGTGCTTTCTAAGTACAAGTTCTCTTGCATGCAGCTCTTGTATACGGGGAACTAGGGTAAGAGACAGACGGCTATAAACAATAAAAGGAAGGTATGAAGAGTGCATTAGGGGAGTCAAGCAGAGGAAGAAAAGAACTTAATCTTCATGGTGGGAAATTTGAGAGTAGTTTTTGAAGAAAGTGGCTTTTGGCTCTGTTTATAAGACAAGCTTTAGAAAATAGGACATTTTCAGTCGATTAATGAGGGCGAACAAGTCCAGGGACAGAAAAGGAACAAGTGGATGAAATCAGGGCATCCAAGAAAAGCCACGAGGGGGGAGTTTGAGACATAACAAGGAGTCTTGTGAGCGTGGAGTCTGACTGTGTAAGGGTGCAACAGTGAGTCAGACTGACAAGGTAAGCTAGGCCTTGGAAGCCAGGTGGAGCGGAAACTTCTCCGTGTAGCACAGAGGGGCTGAGGCTTTCTGGCAGAGGCATGACAAGGCTGGTTTTGTGTCTCAGATCTGCAGTGTCTCCTGAAAGGAGCGCCTGTCATTTGGGGCAGGCTAATTCTTTGTGTCTAGGATCATCCCATTCACTGCAAGACACTGAGAATCCCTGGTCCTTGCCGCCTAAATGCTTGTAATGCTTTCCAGTCCAGATGACGAGCGGCTTCACACATTCCCAAGTGCCCTGGGAGGTAGCACCGTCCTCTGCGTTACAGATGACTGCCAACAGTGTCCAGTACAGGCTCAAATGAAGAAAGAGGGAAAGCAAGAAGGCTATTTAGACAAGACTTTGGAAAGATGGAACGATTAGATCATATGTATGAGTAATGGGGGAAAAATGGAAGTATATGAGAATGCTGAGATAGGGAAAAACATCAACAGGATCTGACTTCTGTTGTTGTGGAAAAGAGAGGTATTACGAATGAATCCAAGATTTCAAGCTTGTATAATTGAAATCATGATAATGCCATTAACTGGATTAGGGAGAGGAAAAGATTTGGGGGGCACTACTGAACTCCGCTGTTAGCTGACTGATATGAAACATCTGTGCATCTCTGCGGCAATCGAGGCAAAGAACTGGAAATGTGGACCTGAGCTCAGCATGAGCTGGGGATAAGAAGTAAAGTTGAGCACAAGGGATAAAGACAGGGTTGGAAGAGGTAGAGATTAAGGAGAGAAATTCAAGGAATTCCTTGTTTTCGACCTATTTCTAAAACTGCTATTTCTCTCGGTCCTCACCAGTTTCCCAGTCAGACAGCATGTAGAGACAGATGGAAAGAAACACGAGCGACGGGCCAAAAGAGACAATGAGACACAGAGGCACCTCTTAAAAATCTATGGCACCTGTTCTCAGATTTCAAGTAAAGATATGAAAACAATTTTTAAGTAAAAACAAGTATCAAAACCTACCAATCTCTGAACCTCTGGGAGCTTACTAACTATAGTATTTATTTCTACCTCCCCACCCCAAACAACTGCTTCTGTTTTGCAATAATACTTTTTCAAAAGCTAGTTAGGCCTGGCCAGGTGGCTTGGTTAGTTGGAACATCATTCTGCACACCAAAAGGTTGCAGGTTCAATCCCCGGTCAGGGTGTGCACAAGAAGGCAATCAACTGATGTTTTTCTCTCACATCGCTCTCTCTCCCCACCTTCTTCTCTCCCTTAAAAAAAAAAAAAAAAATCCTAAGGTGATGATTAAAGAAAAAAAAAGCCTCCCTCTCTCATCAGAAAGCTGAACTTTTACTATGATAATCACTCATATCTGAATAGTTCCTACTCTGGTTTTTATTTTACCCAGATTCATTCGAATCCCCTCATAGTTCTAAAATTGCTTTTTAAAAAAATCTTTAAAAATCGGTCTTTAGACTTTAGAAACCTTATTTCTACCTCTTAATCCAATTACCTGTAGGTAAGCAACGTTATCCCCCATCAACAATGACCAAACGCGGGCCCTTCCGTGACTGCATTAAATATTCTTAGCAAGGGTTCATTTCGCTGTCTACTGCCGTACTGCCTAAGTGTGGTCTGTGGGCTCCTGAAAACACTCAAGACTCTTTCAAAACTATTTAAATAATAATGATAATAATGATAATAATAATAAGTAAGAGGAGGAGGGAAGTAAGTAGAAGTAGTTCATCGCCCTTTTCACTGTGTGCACATTTGCCCTAATAGTGCAGAAGCGATGCTGGGTACAAGTGCTGCAGCCTACCCACAACCAAGGCGGGATCTTCAATGATTCCAGGGATCACTGTGTTCTTCACAGCCACACACTCACAGGTGAAAAGAAAGAAGGCCAGTTCTGACTTCACAGACCCCCAAAGGGTCTCAAAGGCAACCTCCTTCCCAGAGGTCCAGGAATCACCCTTTGAGGTTGATCGCTCTAGGGCACAATAGCCGAATCCCGCCCTCCACCTTGTTTTATCCAGCCTGGCACCTTGTTTCCACCCGGCGGCAGCACCGGGCTCCTTGCCCCTAGCTAAGGAGCAGTTACATTTATACAGTCCTAAAGTTACATTCGGCCCTTTGAAGGCAACTGCGAGGCTGGTGTGGCGCTCGGTGAAAGTTTGACACCCCTGCTCTAGGGGGTGTACAGCGGCACAAGTGAAATAGCTCCTTGAGAAAACTAAGAACACAGCAATAGTTTGGCCTATTCCTTTGGTCTATTTAGATACCATTCAAAAGTAACAATGAATTATAATTATTCACTGAACTATCTTCCGCATACAGAGTACAACACGTGATCAGCAGCCAGCCTCCGAGATGGCCTTCAACAATCCTCACTTCCCAGTATTTATTCCTTTGGTCAACCACGCTGTGAACAACAGAATATAGCAAAGAAGATGCTATTTACCTCGGAGATTAGGTTGTAAAAGACACCACAGCTTCTGTCCTGGTGTCTGACTCTCAGATCATTTATCTGTGGGGAGCTCCTCCTCTCGTCCGCCATTCCCTGAGCGAGCTCAGAAGTGGACCCCACGGCCCCGTCAAGCCTTTCGGGGGACTACAGCCCTGGCTGTCAGACGGACTGCAACCTTGGTGGGGGGGGCCCGGAGCCAGAACCTCCCAGCTGGGCCTCTCCCAGTTTCCTGACCTTCAGAACTCCGTGAGATAATGAATGTTTCAGACTGCCAAGTTTTGGGGTATTTTAATGTAATACGGATAACTAATATCTTTTCTTTCCCCTCAAGAGTTCAAAATACAGTTTAAAAAAAAAAAGACATATACATGTAAACTAACAATGAAAGACAGTGAGTTAAGTGCCAAATTGGAATTTCAGGCAACAACGTAAGCTCAGATCAGAAAAATATTCCCTATGGGCTAGGGAGCTGAGAAAGGGTTTTATGAAGGAGCCAGAAATCCAACTGAGTCTTCAAGGAGAGGCCAGCTTCTGCTAAGTGGACAGGAATACTCCAGGGAGGAAGAAACAAGTACGGCAAAGTGATAGCTTGAAAGAGAAGAGCTCTTGGGAAAAACTGGGAGATGAAGTGATTAAATGTAGACATAGGTCAAATTAAAGAGGGCTCTGAATATAAGACTAAGTTTAGCTTTTATCCTGTAAGCAATGGACAGGCACTGAAGGTTTCTGAACAGGGAAGTAATAAAATTAAAGCAGTGCTGTGGCTGGTGTGGCTCAGTGGACTGAGCGCCAGCCTGCAAACCAAAGGGTCACCGGTTCAATTCCCAGTCAGGGCACTGCCTGGGTTGTGGGCCAGGTACCCCGCAGGGGGTGCACGAGGGGAAACCACACACTGATGTTTCTCTCCCTCTCTTTCTCCTTCCCTTCCCCTCTTCAAGAAATAAATAATCTTTTAAAAATAAAAATTAAAAAATTAGTTTGTCAAAAAAAAAGTTTAAAAAAGTAGTAATCATGAGAACTAAGAGGCAACCCTCTCCTCAGTGAGATCTCTTTTTGCAGAACCATGAATAAATACACCTTTACTGGCCTAAGACACACTACATTTCAATTTCACTTTGATGAAGGGATATGAATCACAACAAAATAAAATGTGTCTACAAAAACCAATTAATTTTACTACTTAAATTTGTATTTTATAATCAATAACTTTCACATTCAAAAATTTTATATGACTCCAGTCAAATTCAGTATTTGCTGAGCATATACTATGTTAAAATAAAGAGTTATTATAAAATAGTGCTAAACTCTGGCTACTCCCTAAGCAAAATCTCAGAAATACCCTTGTGTATGTCATTCCTTTGTTTCTCTCTAACATGACGTCAGATGTTTAAAAGTCTAAGCATGGCGCTGACCCGTGTGGCTCAGGTGCTGGGCGTCGTCCCGCAAAGCAAAGTTTGCCGCTTCGATTCCCTGTCAGGGCACATGCCTGGGTTGTGGGTTTGGCCCTGGGTCAGAGTTTCTCTCCCTCTTTTTCTTCCTCCCTTCCTCTCTTTCTAAAAATTAATAAATAAAATATTTCTAAAAAATTAAAAATAAAAATAAAAGTCTGAGCATAACCTTGACCTCTTTGGAGTACAGATACCACAAAAACTCAGTGAAAAGCAGAATATAAAATTATACCAAAGCACCTACAATGTACTTAGGCTCATGCTCTTCCCTCGTTCTGAATGCAAAATTAACATAAATCATTTTACATTCCTCCATGAAAAAGTCAGACAAAACACAGGCCTCCAAAGCAGTTTTTGGAAACACAGGCAGGGTGGATCCTGTATCCCTTCGCAGTGCATACTTACTGTGTGAGAACCGCTGGGTGATCGGGGTTCCAGGGTAAGGGTAAGTCCGACTCTCCCACTGGATGTTTCCTTCCTGAACGGCCTTTATGAAACCATGGTAACACTGGTGGGCTACACCTACGGACGGAAACAACAAAGGCCTCAGCCCAGCACTTCACTTGTAAATCAGATTATTGAAGCTGCATCTATTAAATGTGTTGTCACTTTTATAAGACATGAATTTGAGATACTTCAATTTTCTTTTTAATTTTTTCATTCAGGAAAAGAAAACAGAATCATATACTTTTAAAACTGGAAGATCCAATCCTTTCATTCACCAGTTTCAGGAAGGTTAAGTGACTTACTTGATCAAGGTTACAAAATTAGCTCATACTGTAATTCCGCTCCCTTTATTATATCGTGATGCAACCCACCCAACAACTGGTATTAGTTATTACAAAGCAAAGGGGCTGGGAGGCAATGTAGCTTCGTGACTAAGAGAATGGTAAAACAGTACCTGGAATGTAATAAGTATTCAGTAAATATCTATCATTGGAACATGGCAACTAAGCATTCTCCATCTTAAACAAGGAGATAAAATTTAGTTTACAATGGATTATTGTTTATAACTAAGTTGTTATTTATCATTAAGAAAACTCTGTTTTAAAAAATGAGAACTTGGGAGTATTTGAGATTTTGCTCCCTGGCGTATGTCAGTTTGATTCAAATAAACTCACAAAAATTTTTAAAAATTTGTGAGAACTTTTACTATAATGGCAGATACAGGTCACTACACTTTTGTCCAAACCCAGAATGTTCGCCAAGTTCGAGCCCTAGTATCACCTACAGACTTTGGGCCCTGATGATGTACCAATGTAGGTTCATTGACTGTAACAAATGCACCGCTCTGCTCTGGTGGGGCATGCTGACATAGGGCTGTGCACGTGCTGGGGCAGGGGTATATGGGATACCGCTGACCCTGCTCAATTTTGCTGTGAACCTAAAACCACTTTAAAAAATAGTCTATTTTTAGCCCTGGCTGGTGTATCTCAATGGATTGAGCGTGGGCTGAGAACCAAGGGGTTGATGGCTCGATTCTCAGTTGGGGTGCATGCCTAGGTTACCAGACAGGTCCCCAGTGGGGGGTGTGTGAGAGGCAATCATACACTGATTCCCCCCTCCCTCCCTTCTCCTCTCTAAAAATAAATAAATAAATCTTAAAAAAAAAAAAAAAAAAAGACCAAGGTGGCACAAATGCCAAATAAAGTCTAAGAATAAATTCATATATTGATTAGATCAGAGCCCCTCATCTATTATTCCTCTCCCTATTTTAGGGGTGAAATGTCTATTTCCACAGTGTAGGGGCCAATCTGTCCTGAAGAGCCCACTTGCTCTGCCAAGAGAAGTAGGCTGTGCACACCAGTATTACTAATTACGAGCAGATGAGTTCAGGACCTGACAAGCAGTTTCAACACAGCTGGTCCTTAGACCTCCAGGGCGGACTTGGATAACTGACAAGGACCGCACTCCCCTGTGAGCCAATCTGATGCAAGGAAAGGATTTTAAGACTGATTCTTATCTAAAAGTTTTTCTCTTTCACATTTCTGCTGCCTTGCTCCCACCAGGAAAGAACAAACTGCTACCAATCCTTGCTTGGATCAAAGATTATTGAACTGGGCTGGTCATCTTCATTTAAAAAAGTGGGTGGGGGAGGGTTGTTTCTGCCTAAAATGGAATAACACCAAATACCTGCTATCTATAAATTAAAAATACAACCCTAGCTGGTGTGGCTGAGTGGACTGAGCACCAACCTGTGAATCAAAGGGTAGCTGGTTCGATTCCCAGTCAGGGCACATGCCCGGGTTGCAGGCCAGGTCCCTAGTTGGGGGTGCACAAGAGACAACCACACGCTAATGTTTCTCTCCCTCTCTTTCTCCCTCCCTTCCCCTGTCTAAAAATAAATAAAAGAAATCTTAAAAAAAAAAAAATATAGCTCAGCTAGTAATCTCAACATTTAGCTAAAGTTGAACTCTTGATTAGAAAATGAAGGGAAAAAGGGGAGAAACTCATTTTAAAAAGCAACAGGTATCCATAAGGACTGTGCTGTTTAGAGATAAAAAACAAGGGGTAAATGCTCTCACAAATCCACATTTGCCACAATTAGCCACTTTTTGAAAAATATATTATTTTATTGGTTTTGCTATTACAGTTGTCCTTTTTTCTCCCCTTCACTCCCCTCCACCCTCAACTTCCCTCCCACCAGCATTCCCCCACCTTAGTTCATGTCTGTGGGTCACACACAGAAGTTCTTTGGCTTCTCCATTTCCCACACTATTCCTAACCTCCCCCTGTCTATTTTGTACCTACCATTCATGCTTTTTCCTGTACCTTTTCCCCCATACTCCTCCCTTCCTGCTGATAACCCTCCATGGGATCTCCATTTCTGTGATTCTGTTCCTGTTCTAGTTGTTTGCTTAGTTTGTTTTCGGGTTTTTTTTTTTCAGGTTCAGTTGTTGACAGTTTGAGTTTATTGTCATTTTACTGTTCATATTTTTGATGATCTTTTTCTTAAAAAATATGGAATGCTTCACAAATCTGCGTGTCATCCTTACGCAGGGCCATGCTAATGTTCTCTGCATTGTTCCAATTTTAGTATATTTGCTGCCAAAGGGAGCACACAATTAGCCGCTTTAAGAGGCAATATGATATCCTCACAAAGAACAGGGGCTTTAATGACAGACTGCCTGACTGTGAACCTTCGATCCTTCGTTTGCTACCTGAGTGACCGTGGGTAAGTTACTCAGCTGCACCCGCTCGGTGTCTGCGTCTCTCATAGTGTGCTGAGAGGACTGTAAGGCAGTTACAATAAGTGCCTGACAACGGGAAGAGCCATATTAATGTTAGCTGCTACTGTTATCTCAGATCTATCCCGTCTCCACCTATTCAAGAGCAATGTAATTTGCCACATCAGCTCTAAGAATATGCAGAAAACCATCTTCACTTAAAAACTTCAAATTAATTAAATATTATAGTATTCAAGCTGCTCATAAAACTAATAACCAGGATAAAGAGAAAAGGGAATGTACAATGTTAACTAACACTAAACTTTAGAACCACAGTAAATTTAAGGGAGAAAAGAGAAAATAAAATTGGAAGTTTAAAAATAAACCATTCAAACAAATTTTAAATAAATACATAAACCTCTCCGGTTTCCACGGTACCTTTGATGAGCCGATACCACTGTTTGCAGACAAGGGCTGCAGTTTTGTGTTCCTGGTACGGTGACAGAAAGGACAGGATGTATTCCAAAACCTCTTCCGGCAGCTCGGACATGGACCTGTTATGTCTAGTCTCCTCAACCTCTAATACTGGCTGAGGCTCCTCATCTTGCTCCATTGTCCCTTCCAGCACAGTTTCTTCCTGGTCCACTGCCATGAAACTGTCATCTTCGCTGTCCGAGGAGCTGGCCATGACATTCCACTCGACAGCTACAGTGGGGAAGAAATGGTGGGGCATCAGTGCACACTGCTGGGAGCTCTGACACAGCGCAGGCACACACACACACGAGCCGCCCAGGATTGGTTTGAGACCCTCAGTAGGAAGTCTGTTCTGCAGCGCTGGTCGGGAGCCACCTTGATCTGACAGGCACAGCTCAAGTACCAAGCCCATCCCAAATACCAAACAACCTCTACAGGCTTGTCATTTTTTCACTCCACTGAAAACTATGATAGCCAAGTTCTGGTATAACCAGAAAACCAGAAAACTGGTTCTCTAACAATTCCCCTCACTCAAGGATCTGACTGGAAGACGGCAAAGGGAATAACAATTGGCTTCCCTTGGCCAGTAACATAACCTAAGACCTCAAACTTAGAAGGAAAAAATAACTGGGTGCTACAAAGAGTAGTAAGAATATTCTGAGGATGTGGTTTTAGAAATAACAGTTTTTCTAGCTTTTACACAACATAATTCACTTAAAAGGATAATAAATGTCCCAAGAATAGGCCTAACCAGCCAAAATATCAAATATAAGGCAAGATTTATACTAGAAAACATCATAACAAATCCAGGAAGTGAAAAACTGGAAATGATACAAATGCCCCTCAACAACAGAACACTCAGCTCTTTCGCGGTACACGCAGACAGAACACTGCAGAGCAAGGAGCCACAGACACTCAGCTAAGTTTCAACATAACTCAGCAAAAGAAATCAGAAGAGCACAAACACACGACCATGCTTATATCAAATTCAAAACTAGGCAAAACTGATTTATGCGGTTGCAAGTAAGGACAGTGGTTAGCTTTGGCAGCCACTGGGAGGCTCCTGGGCTGCCAGTAAAGTGGTTTCCACTGGAATAATGGTTACACAGATGGGTTCAGTTTGTGAAAAATTCACCAAGCTGAACACTTAATGCTTAATCTTCTCTAAAGTTTACCGAATCAAGCCATGATCAAGTTACCTCTAGTGAAGGTAATTAATTTTAAAAAATTGTTTTGGGTGACTTGAAAATTTCTTCTTTATGCTATCCGTATTCACTAAATTTTATGGAAAGAGCATGTGTTAAACATACGCGCAGGAGCAACACCTTTTCACCACGCCCTGATGTTTCAGGCAATGCCTACGGTAAAAAGGGTAGTAACAGGACGGAAAGGATGATTTACGCAGGAAGTGCGTCACAGGTCAGACTCTCCAGGAAGCAGACGCTAAAATACATCTAGGAATGAAAAAGGCTTAAAGGAGAGAACTCGTGTGAGAAGAAAAGCATTGAGCAGGAGGAGCTATCAGACCAGGACGCGGATCTGGCAGCTCGACCAGCGAAAGCTCAGGCACGAGGCTGGTCGGTGAGAGTAAGAGGACTGGGGTGCTGGGTGAGAAGACCAGGCAGGCACGTCACTGCTCTCTGCCCAGCCGTTGGCTGGGGGCTGCTCTGAGAAGAGGGCGACCCTGGCTCCAAAGCTGAGGCAGTCACTGAAGGCACTTAACAGTTTCCTTTAGCTACACTCCTTATGTTTAGGCAACAAGTTCTCTCTTGATGGGGTATCTGAGTTCATTTTATGATTTTGTTAATACATCTATTCCCCTTGATCCCCTGGTACCTGCCCAGACCAACACTATGTCAGCCAACTCATAAATTTCCAGCATTTTCTCTGGCACTGATGAAAATAATAAGAAATAACAGGAAGAGAAGAGTGGTTCTGAAATATACTTTGGGGCTTAAAGAAAGATCTGAAGTGTTCCAAAGGTAAGGGGGTTGGGGAGAGCAGAAACTAGAAACCTCCCACCTCATCTCTACTACTCCTGTAATTCATATACTAATTATGTATCACACCTTAAAAACTGGAAGAATGATCACATTCAGAAAAATGAAGACATAAATCAAAACCCAAGTAGGTGCTAGAATATGTTTTTGACATTTAAGAAACTGTATTTTATTGATTATGCTATTATAGTTGTCCCATTCCCCCCCACTTTATTCCCCTCAGCCCTGTGCACCCCCTCCCACCTACATTTAGTTCACGTCCATGGGTCCTACATATAAGCTCTTTGGCTTCTACATTTCCTATACTATTCTTAACCTCCCCCTGTCTATCTGACACCTACCATTTATGCTACTTATTCTCTGTACCTTCCCCACCGCCACTCCCCTGCTGATAACCCTCCATGGGATCTCCATTTCTGTGATTCTGTTCCTGTTCTAGTTGTTTGCTTAGTTTTTTTTGTATTAGATTTGGTTAATAACTGTGAGTTTGTTGTCATTTTACTGTTCATAGTTTTGATCTTCTTTTCCTTAGATAAGTTCCTTTAACATTTCATATAATAAGGGCTTGAAGATGATGAACTCCTTTAACTTGACCTTATTTGGGAAACACTTTATCTGCTCTTCCATTCTAAATGAAAGCTTTGCTGAATACAGTAATCTTGGATGTAGGTCCTTGCCTTTCATGTCTTCAAATACTTCTTTACAGACCCTTCTTGCCTGCAAGATTTCTTTTGACAAATCAGCTGACAGCCTTATGGGAACTCCTTTGTAGGTAACTGTCTCCTTTATTCTTGCTGCTTTTAAGATTCTCTCCTTATTTTTAATCTTGGGTAATGTAATTATGATATACCTTGGTGTGTTCCTCCTTGGGTCCAACTTCTTTGGGACTCTCTCAGCTTTCTGGACTTCCTGGAGGTCTATTTCCTTTGCCAGATTGGGGAAATTTTCCTTCATGATCTGTTCAAATAAGTTTTCACTTTCTTGCTCTTCCTCTTCTCCTTCTGGCAACCCTATGATTTGGATGTTGGGATGTTTAAAGATGTCCTGGAGGTTCCTAAGCCTCTCCTCATTTTTTTGAGTTCTTGTTTCTTCATTTTGTTCTAGTTGAAATATTTCTTTCTTCCTTCTGGCCCACACTGTTGATTTCAGTCCCAGTTTCCTTCCCGCCACTGTTGGTTCCCTGTACCTTTTCCTTTATTTCACTTAGCATAGCCTTCATTTTTTCATCTAATTTGCGACCAAATTCAACCAATTCTGTAAGCATCCTGATTACCAGTGTTTTGAACTGTGCATCTGATAGATTGACTATTTCTTTGTCGCTTAGTTGTATTTTTTCTGGAGCTTTGATCTGTTCTTTCATTTGGGACATTTTTTTTTTTTTTGTCTTGGCATACCTATTATGTAGTAAGAGGAAGAGCCTTAGGTGTTCACCAGGGTGGGGCAACCCACGTTGTGTTGTGATGCTGTATGTGGGGGAGAGAACAATGGCACTTGCTCCGCCCTCTGCCAGTTTTCAGTCACTGCCCCCGCTTCCCACAAGCAGATTCCCAGGTGGGTGGGTTTGTGTATGTTCTAGGACCCTGTGGGTCTCTCCAAGGAACTCTTTTGTGAGGCTGGGAGTTTCTCCTGCTGCCCCCTCACCCCCCACAGGTGTTTTCAGAAGTTTGAGGCTTTGTTTCCCTGAACTAGAACCCTGGGTTGATCTGGAACCCTGGGCTGCGCAGTCTGTCTTGCTCCCCAGTTGCTCCTCCCGGTTTATCTGTACACGAATGTGGGACCACCCAGTTCACAATCCTCTGCCTCGCCTCATCCCCCAGCTGCCACCTTGCCCACCCCAGTCCTCCACCCACAGCCTTGCCACGAGTCCTCTCTGCCCAGCTGCCTGACTCCGCCCCTCACACTGGTCTGGATGAATGATTCTTCTTTAACTCCTCGGTTGTCGGACTTCCATACAATTCACTTTTCTGTCAATTCTGGTTGTTTTTGTTTTTAAATTTGTTGTTGACCTTCTTTTGATTGTGTGAGGAGGCTCAGTGTGTCTACCTACACCTCCATCTTGGCCGGCAGTCCCCAGCTGCTAGAATCCTGATGATGACGAACGAATGGCTAACTGGAAGGAGCGGGGCAGCCTACGTACATCTCCTAGCCGGGGGAGGAGGCTGCAGTGGTAAAGGAAGGACAGCAGCACTTCCCTCCATCCCCACAAGTACAGTATCGTCTTGGATTTCCTGTAAGCTGCATCGGATAAAGCATCCTAGATGGTTGTTAGCCCCTCCAGCCCTGCCTCGGGTGAGCTGTTCTTCCCACGCTTAACTTGCTAGAGGGAAGGCCTTTCCACTTCCAGCCCTAACTCCTATCCAAAAATCATGTAAATATAAAACCAAAATTAAAATGTTTTTCTAGCAAAAAAGGTTGCCTTTTCTACTGGAAAAAAAAAATCAGTTCCCATAGTCCCTCTTGTTCTTTCCCTGCAAATTACCATTTATCATCTCCCACTATCTTCCCTAATTTATTGACTTTCTCATATTTTTAACCCCTACTCAGGCCTGAAATTCACCAAAGAAGAGTACAAAAAACCACTTCCTAGGATCTGGCTGTGTTTTTCACATTTGAATTAAATACAGGATCTCAAATACAGTTGTGCTCTATATACCCTGACAGCCTGTGAACCTAGGGTTGCTTTAGCACAAACTGAATCATAAAGGCTGCAAAATGTTATTTATATTACTGGTTTTTTCCCCAAGCAAAATAAGTCTGTTTGGCTCAATAAAACAATTTGCTTCCTTTCCAAATCTTCTCAAAGTATAATTAGCAAGCCCAAAGAAAGGGGATCACACTTTCGCAATACCCAGTTTTAAGCAATTCTCACCATCCAACCGTTTCAACTGTCCACAAATGCGTCAAACCCCACGCCCCTGAGGGCATGTCTGCTAACTCAGCCCCTAAACACAGATGCCGATGAGCACATACAGGGATGGGCTTGGATGCAATTCCTCCGAGATTACATGCCCAGCATTAATTTGCACAGCCTTTCATTTTCACTTCCTTGATTAAGTAATGAAATCATCACTCATATTCCCAAAGCACATAGGGGTATTTTGAAAGTTTTTCATGCCAAAAAAGCCTTATAAAACATTTCACATATAAGTGTATTACCTTAATTAATGAATGTGGTGTTCATGAAAGTCTTTAAAAGAAATCTTCCTCACCCTTCACATTTGAGTCAGGCCT